CGGCGTTTATTGCTGCGTCTCGAGAATTTTCGAACTTTTCCATCAGCTATGTCCTCCTTCGAAGAGAGTTTCGTTAGCTCTCGAATAACGTGACAAGCCTTCTCCATTCGAATAGAACATTCACGTTTCATCTATTCAGTTAGAAATTAATGATTCCTTTTAGTTCGTTAGTATTGGTACCAAATTGCTCTATACCGTTTATACAAGTATAATAGGACAAGTGGTGGTACTGATCAGACGAGTAGAATATACCGTATCTGGTCAGACGGGTGAAGTATATCACATCCCTATACAGTTTAGCAGATGGAGCGTATCACTAACCGGAACAGTAGAATATTATACGCTTTTCAGACAAGTAATACTAGATTCAATCCTTGTTAGACGAGGAGAGTTCATAGCCAAACTAGTAAAATAGGATTACCTCTACGCGGACAAGTAGAATGACCTCGACGCCTGATCAGAATGTTCAATAAGGCACTTACTAACAAAACTTAGTCACGTTTCTATCGTAGAAATAGAACACCTCTGGCATCAATTTATCGTAATAGATTTCGATCGAGTCACTAAAATCTCGAAATACATAGGTAATATTAAAGTTAATAAATTTGGAATACTTTTTCTGTTACCTCTGCCTCTCTAACGATTTCATGGCGTGTTTCACGCTGAAACAGAAGCACTGCAGGCAACATCGAGCGGCACAATAGACCGATAGTTAACAGGTAGTAACGTAGATACGCTTGTCACTCTGCTGGCGAAGAGAAACGAAACGGAGAAACGAGATCGGCGGCTGGGGCTGCAGCCTTCATTTGGTTGCAAATAGGGTTCCTACCGAATGAACGTTTTAAAAGTTAGCTGCTGCGAGGCATTGTTTGGCCGACACTGGCGAACGCAAGGGGTGAGTCGGTCGAGTCTTTGATTAACTGGCGCCACGAGGCAAAGTCTTTCACGATTGTTTGCCACTCTTGCCGTCTTCGTTCCTCTTTGTTCTCCTTGGGCTACCGTTTTTCTTCTCCCCCACGGGCGTTCTTTCTCGTGGCAGTTGTCGTTTCCGTTGTTGCCTGTCTCCTCCTTTTTCAGGGCGCAACAGCCATCGAACCATTTCTATTTGTTTTATTTTTCGGCTTTATTCACTCAGTCTGTTCATCTTCCTCTTCCAACCGTTTCTCTCTCGTCCGTTGTTTCTTCCTCGTTGCCAACCTGACCAGATACTTCAATTAAGTTTCCCCTGAAAGCAAGCCAAACTACTTTTCGTACGCATGCACTCTATTTGCGCGTCCCGCTCGCCTCTGGCTCCGTGAGCTGAAATCCATTTAGGGCTGCCACACTCCTGGAGAGGTATCGATTAGCTCTCGCGATTTTGTAAACGGCGTGTGACGTATTGGCTGTGTGCCTGCGACGAATGCCTATCCGGTGAAATTGCGCCGTTCGCGATACGGCGGCGTGTTTATTTGCTGCGTGTGAGTGATCGTGGAACGATCGCGTGAAATTTGAAAGGAGACAGACGCGACATTGAGCAAACGTTAGTTGAAATAAATTAATAGAGAGTTATTAAATTGTATTAAACTATTTCACAAACGATGTTCAGGAAATTGTGCTTCGAGTGGCTCGAACGACGGAATCAAAATTCATGGAACAACGTTTATTGGATAATTATATTCATACAGTTTAGCTGTTCCACTGCGAGCTCGTCTAAGTGCAACAGCTTCGTTTTGATATCCCCCTGTTACCTTTATACCTTTGCCTTACGGAAATGGAGGCAGTGCTTCGTCCAAGGTCTATTGTCGTTTTCAGAAATTCTGTTCCATTTAAACATTGCTCGGTGATTCCGCGGTCAAGTACCAGCATTTCACCTGAATTTCAGCGTTCATCTCCGTTATATTTCGTAACCGTATATAGGACACGGTGACTTGAAGGAAAGGTAACAAAAAATTATGAAAAAGTATTTCAAATCGTTCAGTTTTCTTAACAAGATTCTTAAAAAAAATAGAGATTTAAAATATTTACAAACAATACCAAGCATGCCTGTCAGTTATCATATCGGACATCACGTGGAGAATTCTTTAGAAGGTTTCATGAATTATGTAGATATACCGCACAGAAAGCTTGCGAAAGTTTTGAATGTTCCAGAAACCTTCCAATAAACCTGAGCTCCGTTCATCCAAGCGTTGCGTTCTCGCGCGCTTTATAACTCAACACGTTCATCAGTTATAGGAAAAATCTTGGCAATTTTATATCACTCGAATACGAGAAAATGATAGTTTCGAGAATAAAGACGCCTTTAAATAAGCTCTTGTTTTTTCGTGATATCAGCGATTGTATTTCAGGCCCGTGTACGTGGTTTTCCTTTTTTCCTTTCAAGCAAATTTCTTTTCAGATGAATTAATTTCAATTCAATTCAATTCATTCCCGTTTGGATTTCTTAGATTTCAAAGACAGCCACCTCTTTCGTATTATTTCGTTACCTATATTTCCAATTTCCTTAGGACCAGCTATTTTCGTATTCAGCGTAACTAAACCGAATTAAAGGAAATTGCCTTCCTTACATTTTTCTTCTGTCGAAACTCTGACCCAATCCAAGTGTTTTTTTTTCTTTGTTCGCATAGTGATTGAGCTTTCGTCTAGAGAATATAATTTTCGTTAAAGACCAACCATTTTAAGTGTTTTAATTTAAACGAATCGCACGAATAGCTTCTTCGAAGACCAATCGATCGATTTTTATTCTCCACCATAAAAATAGAGCCTTTTTTGTTCGATAAGACAGGGTTCGTTCTCGATCGCTTAGAGTCTCTTTTCCTACTTCTCGGGTTTGCTCCATTCTCAGTTCACCACTATCGCGCAAATTAATTCCAGACTGTTGCTTCCAGCGGACTCCATCGAGGCATGGTATAACTTTGTACTCAAATGGGCCGTTCCATTATATTCGCGTGCATCGACAGTTAAACGAACCACATTCTAGCAAAGGCTCGATCTTGTGTCAGTGGTTAAGACGGTCACGTCCCCTTTGCGTTTTAAGATACCTATGAAATCACTGTGTCTTTTCTGCCTTCGTCTTCCACGAAATTAAGTCAGTTCGTTTATGGAGTAATCGAGTCGTTCATTTCCACGCGAGGGCGTCCAACGTTATTCCTTGCGTTACGTCGCAGAGGGTGGAGGACCAATGGACTATCATTTGAGCGTCGATGCTTTGTTTATTCATGGATATTTTGAATATCAATAATAAAATGTCATCAACATTCTCAATGCTGAATCAGCGAGGAAATTTTCTCTGCGATGAATAAATTTCAATTCAAGAAGAGGGTTCTATAAGTTTGAGCTCTTGAAGAAATTGATACTCCTGTAAATGAAATTGAAAATTTCGTTCGGCGTGTTCAATTTATTTTCTTCTACGGAATCACTTTTTTGACTCGTTACGGTACACCGAGTATATTACCGTGTTCACCAGCAGTTGATCGAAGTCGATTACCGGTCAGCTCTCGAGTATCTCGCGGCAACGTCGAAGATTGTGTAGACATTCTGCCCTCTCATTCAAGAAATCCGATACCGCAAAGTACTTGTATTTATCTGCCGTCGGAGCTCGCCGGAAATATGTCCACCGGCCGGAGAAATAGGAACGTTTCTTTGTCCCTAGGAGTCGTGCAGCTTCCACCGAGCGATAACGATTTCTATTGGCGTTGAAGAATGTCCAGAACGAAATTCGGTGGAATAAAAGTGTCTGTTGGCGGAAAAATAAATTGTTCCATTCCAAAATCAGTACGTGGTAACAAACGGTTGGAAGAAATTGACATTATCGATGAGTTCTCAGTAGAAATCGTTGGGGATCATTATGATTCTGACTAGAGACTTTGATTTCTTTTCCCGAGCACTGTTGATGCTAGCTTTTCCTAATTACACACATTTGTACATAAAAGGCTTCATATTCGATAGAAAATAATTCCAAAATGAAACTCCCTCGAGGCAGACGGTTTAAAATAAAAGTAAAACTGAAACTTGTAGATATTTTTGCGCGCCACAGCGCGAGAACAATTAAGCAGGCCGCCCCCGTTTGAGGAACCGCAACAGATGCTGGAACGCGAATTCGACGTCTCGTTCACTGCGAGGCGTCACAGGCCGCCGTCGCGACGCTGGAGCGTTTCGACGCGAACGAAATCGCTCTTTCCGTCGTTTGCATCCATCTTCGCGAACGCGTCGGGAACTTATTGTTCCCCGGCGCTTGCTCGCGACGCCTCAAGGGGTGGAGGATTTTTTCGCGGTCCGTTTCCAGCGTACCCGTCCCGACGCTGAGAAATTTCACCAATTCCTCTCGCAGTTAGCAGTTCGCGGCACGTTTCTTGCGCTGGGCTGGATCCGAAACGAACCGATAACTAGGGAAACAACTTATTCTCCGGGGCGAAGTTGGGCCAGCGACGCGAAAGTACTTATTCTTCTGACTTAGGAAGACCCTAGCCGTAGCCTGCTCGTAGGTCGCGGGAAAACTTTGCGAAGGAATGAGATATTACAGGGTATTTGGAATTCGAAGTGTCCCGCGATGCGCGCGATTAAACGTCCGCGTGCAACTTGCATTGTTTCCCTTCGGGCGAGGAAAGCTTTGAGTAGTCGCCTGACTCCTATCAAACTGCGGAGATATTCAAAGTAATCGGTGAAAATTGCTTTGGTATTTAATTAAACTTAACCCTCTGCGCTCGAGGGACGACGATCTTTATTCGCGTTGAAATTCGTTGAATTTCGAATTGGTTCACAAGTTCTTCTATCGGTCTAGGAGGTGGGAAATGGTACATTACTTCATTTCTAGAAGAGTGGAGATCATAGATTGCCCCACAAAAGAATTCATGTTTCTTTTAGATCAAACATTAAAGATGTGAAATTTAAAAATCAATTAAGTAAATTATATTTAAAAAATTTCCAAATGACTCAATACCGATTTTAATTGCTCCCAAGCATTACTGGAATGTCGTGTCGTCTATAAGAGAGTCTGTGGTAATAGGTACCGATGTCTGTTTCAGTGCCGCGGGTGGAGATCGTCGACGAGCACGGTGCCACAGCCGGCGACAAATTCTACAAAGCGGGTAGCACGATAGAATTGAAGTGTGTGGTCAGCAATATACCGCAGCCTACCGGATACGTAACGTGGCGACACGGATCTCGAACGCTGAATTACGACACCACTCGCGGAGGAATCAGGTGAGCTCTTAGCATGCGATTTAATGGTACAGAAATTGATTTCATCGCGCGTCCCCGGTCGCATATAATTTCGTGGATATTCGTGTTATTATCGGGAAACCAGGTCGAGATTATACCGGTGGAATCTAGTTGCCCTTGATCCATGAGAATTGTCTGAGGGTGGCATCCTTTGGCGTGAAATGTAACTTTGCTCGAGAAATCGCTGAAGTTTGTGGAATTTGTCAGGCGTTGGGGCGAAATGTTTATTGAGGCGTGAATTAAATATGAACACGTTCGTATTCTTCCGTCGTAGAATAAACATTTTTATTAGCAAATTATTATTCGCGAACTGTTTTTATTCTTTAAATACATTCCAATTAATTATTTTCTAGGCCTCCTAATTACATTTAGTAAATCCACTTCATTTATTAAAGCATCACTTTATTAATAAAAGTCTGACGAGAAATCTCCGTAAACCTAGCGTTAACGATCTATTATTGAAACAAAATTTCGTCCTGAGAAACAGGCGCCACTTTCTGTCGAATGTTACGTTAGTTGGGAACGCGTGCGTTGCCAACTGCGTAACCGTGTATTTTAGTAATCGGCCGACCGAAACTACTCTCACCCGAGTATCAAATGGTATACGAGCAACCATAACCACCCAATCCCGTGCCAAATGCAAGTGCTTGAAATTTAACCGAATATCGGACTTCTGGCACTTCGTACTGGTCGAATAATTCAGAAACGTAACAGGAGTTAGTTCTCGTCGACGGTTCGCCGTGCGTAGGAGTTATTTCACGACGCTCGTTGATGCGCTTTATCGAGAACGCTTAAACGACGCGCGACGGCTCGAAGTGGAATAATGCGTACTATATCAGCCACCGCGGCGCGTCTCTTCTTTTTAATTAGAGCAAACCTGGTTGGAACATCTGACTGCGGCGGGCCCGTATTCAGATATGGTTTGCGGGCACTCGAGTAATTTCGTTGGCCGCCGGCCGATAGTTTATTCAGGCTGCATGGGGATTCTAATTGCTCCGATAAAGAATGGAACGTTCGGTGAATTTTGAAAGGCTTTCATTAAAGTTCTCCGAACTGGCAGCGGTCGACGGTCCGACGGCGTGTGTGACCTAATTGGTTATAGATATGACGGAATTCATGAATTTTAAATGGCGTCGTTCGGTTACTCCCGCCCGGGGCTGGGTTGCCTTTCGATCACGGTGATTCGACGATAAATCGATTTGCGGCCGTGGCTCGTTAATGCGCTCGCTGTCATTTCGCGGAGGCTTTCTTCTCGACGGTTCGGGATGACAGCGAAATCTGGCTGACCGCCATTGAACCAGGGTGGAGACCATTCGCGCTTGGTAATTGTTCGCTAGGTCGCCTAGGGGGTTTGCTTCCCTAGTTTGGGGGTTAAATTATTAAATAGCACGGAATAATTCGAGATAAAAACAAACAGGCTTCGTATGCTTTGGTATAGAGCTCTACATAAATTTTATATTATAACAAAATACCCCAAAATTTAATGTGAAGATTGATCACGTACTGAAATTAACACATGTGTCAATATATTTGAATAAATTATAATATACTTTAATAAATCATTTATTAAAAATACAACGCAAATAGAACTCAGAGTTCTATTAAATTCGAATATTGTTTATGTTAGTTCGATTATTAAATCCGATTCGGATTATCCACTTTGTTTCACTCGTTAAGCGTTCTGAAAAAACGAGCGAGAAAGAGTACCGAGAAGCGCGTTCTTGTAATGCTCGGTGGAATACTTGAGCGATTATCTCGAATTGGTTGGATTTTTAATATCGATTCGTTTCCTCTCCGTCGAATTATTCTCACGTACACGCGAGCAAATATTTGCTGCGACTTGATTTATCTTTTTTCGGTCGTGGCAATTGTACCTTATCATCGCTTGTTATTGTCGCTGTAAGGTTTCAGACATAATAAAAGACAAATATATTACCGATAAACGTGCTTTCCAGCTTCATGCTCGACCGTGCGAAATATACAAATTATCGTGTGGGATTACAATTTTATCTTTTAGGATAACCAATTTGACTTTGCCCAGAACCCCGCGATTACACGCTTCGCAGGGATATGTTTGCACGATAAACTACCGTTAAGAGGAATGTAAAATCGCAGGAATGTCTATTATTAAAAGTGCCGCTACGAACAACTCGAGCGAATTACCGTCCAAGCAGGGATCCGTTTCATAAATGTGTACAGAATTAAATCAAATAAAGAAAGGGACCAGCTATAAAATTTGAATTTTACTCCGTAAATGTAATTTACGTTTGTTGCTTGAATAATGTTTCGAAGTTGCTCCAGTTTTAAGGAATGAATTTTAAAAAGAATACTTTCGATCCCCTGATTTAGCGTAATCGCGCATACATATACATAAATCTGAATAGCAGAAACAGCGCGATCCTGTAGAGAAACGACTATAAACCTTGATCGTTGGCTGTAAAAGCTCGAAACGATAACAAAAATGGGTCGTTAATATGTACTATTACGAGGCTCGTAAAATACAAAGACATTGTCGGTCTCGTGTCAAACATTTCATAAGAGTCCTCGCGACTTTAAACTTCGCAAATTTAATCTCAGTCACCAGTTTCCTCATTTTATGCAATATTTAATTTTGTCGCGACATTATAGTCAGCGAGCCATATTTATATTTTTTAAAGAGCATCGAACTAGGGAGATCTACGATGGACTGGATTCGAGGATTTTTAGAAGTGGTTTGATACAAGAAGATCCATAAGTAAAAGCACATATTAAAGTGACTGGAATTTTTAAGACACGTCGTAAATATATTTTACAGCCGAACTCGCTTCATTTCGAAACGTCGAAGTAGCTTTAAAATATACTTGATGCCTCCGATCGAGTAACACGTCATGCTTGAAACAGCATGAAAGTTACAATTGAACATGAGCGTAACGGGGAAACTTGAAATTGCAAATTAGAAATCGAGATGTTCCGTCGGGACGCGTTACATATGAAAACAATTGGAAACAAAATCGTGTTACAATAAATCAGTTACTGGACACTGTTACACGCGTATGTGATTCGATCAGGGATAGGCGAAATTCTCATCTAGATACAAATTTCGAGTAACGAATGAAAGATAAGCAGTTGGTTGTATGCTACTCGTTAAATAAGAATTAGGATCTCACGTTCAGATTTCGTACATATTTCTTGCGATTGACATTTTTTATCTTCAGATTCTATACATCATTTTCTAAAGAGCAACGATCGATTGTTAAATTCAGGAATTTTAATATACAATCGAATAAAGGTCACGAATATACTGCTGCCCCGTTTTGCTCGTTATCGATTATTCGAATAAAATTTAGCCCACCTGACATGGAGATTTAGTCGTCGTCGAAGATTGGTTTTAATAATGTATTCTTCCAAGCCAGTTTTAAATTAGAAAATACGTACGACCCATTTTCGAAATATTCTTGGATTTCCACGGATCGAGTCCCACTTTTCAATTTGTCGTCGGTGGAAGCGCGGCTTTATTAACCTTTTTGTCTGATTGGACGCCGCGGTGTGCGCGCTTAACTCGATTATAGCGTTCTCAATGCTCAGCGTTCGAATCCGAATTCACAATTTACTTGTTGGACTCCATTCGCATCTGACCCGCCTATGATCAATAATATCAAGCGCGCGTTCATTTTAAACTTCGTTAACGACGCACGACCTAATGGTGTGGCGAGAATTTCTCGGGTTTTTCATTTTCTCGGGCCGCCGCTGCTCACGAGTGGAAGTAATCGCAAATAATACCGACCGAAGAGCGAGGAGCGTTCGTTAATTTTATTTTCAGCTTACCAATTCCCCTTCTCTTCGTTTGGACCGGCTCCGTCCGCGTGGACGTCATAAATTATGTACGATGAAATGAATTTTAATTTTGATTTAATTGAACTTGTCAAGCCTTTCGACCTTTAAATATTTATGAGAGGAATAATTGTACATGATAAAAAATTCAAGGTAGAAATAGAAATGAGATCCAAATAATACTTGTTGTTTACGATAAGCAGACGACCAGAGATATCCAGATAAATAAAAAAAAAAAGATAGTTTTGAATTATAGAACGAAATATCTCTGTTCAAATGTTAAACTTTAAACGTTATCGAGTTCACGACTAGTTGCGACGTTTCCGTTGCAAGATTAAATGATTTCGAAATGAAGGATCCGTAGGACTGATACTCGATTGTCCCAGGAGTCTCTTAGCTGGTGATTGATACGACTCCTCCGTGTATTCGACTCCTACGAGCTTGTGATTCTATGTAGCTCGCAGCAGATCCACCCGAAGGTGTCCCAGAGGGTTACCGCATCTTGGGGCTGGGATAACTATGAGATTCTCTGGGCCTGTATAATTTCATGGAGGGGTTTCGGTTCCTTGTCACAAACTTCTGCTAGCTACACGCTACGTCTGTAAGCTTCTCGACGTAACCCTAATTTACCGTGTTAGTCTTAATTTAGTAATGTGCCAGTTAGAAGGCACTGATCGCTTCACGTTAGTGGTTTAATACAGTGGAACGATGGCACTCTAAGCTGGTTTTAGGACCTGTGATTTATGAAAGTAGAGTATCATAAGCAATATTACGCACACGTAAATTATGGCGGTTTTGGTAGAAAATATGTAAAATATAGGTGAAATGCGGCGAAATAATGTAGATTGTTTTTTTAACATTCCTTTTAAAATATAAATCAAATAAATATCGTAGAATGCATAAATAAAGATATAGATTTCACCTAACGGCACATATATGTCGTAATATATATTATAACATGGAGATTGTTCTTACCATCAGCAGTCTCCACAATTATTCGCATTTAATTGTCAATTACAAAGTTCCACGGCGTAGAAACTTGGGCTCACTGTTCCTGCTTAACCATCCGCGAAAAGTTATTAACTATGAAATGACATCGTGTTCCCCAAGTGGAGGTACGCGAACACGCGCGCGAATTTCATTCGATAACCTTTAATCCGACTTGCAGTTTC